AAAGCCAGTGGTAAACATCCTGTGAGATTCCAGTCTGAGTTTTACCATCTTAATGGGAATAAGGAAGGAAGCTTGCAACAATTATCCTTTTATTATCCTGTTTTTCTTGATGATTAGCAAACAGAACACCATATAATATCTTCAGACATCTCTGACATGTTGAACAAAATGCAGATCAAAAATCTCATATGAATCATATTATGTATGCTTTATTAAATTAACCTACAATGCCAGGGAATGTGCTGCAAGAAAGTCAATACTGAAATGAGACTAACATGTAATATGTGAACAGTGAGAATCGGTTACAGCAAGCACCTCACAGCACAGTCGATGGTGTCTCATATGCTTAGGTGTGCAGTTGCAGACATATTAGTCAAGTGAGACATTAAGAATAACTCCCTCTGCAAATCCTGTCACATGCCTGTTCTGAGTCCCTGAGTACTGCCTCTCTCTCGTGACACACTGCATGCATACACCGCTGATGTACAGGTCCAACGCCACTTGGCAATCAGACATTATTATGGCCTTTATTTTTACAGCCTAGTTTGCAAACCCTTTCCCATCTGATCCTCAGATGGAGCAATCCCACTTCCATCCATGAGGTGAGGATGAGCCAGAACATCTGGATCTGCAGTCTCATTTGAATCCTGGCACTGCTTGCTGGAAAAGGCTGGGTTTGGGGATCCAGGTTGCTCTTTTTCCTGTGATGCCCTATTACCTGGGTTCAGCAGTAGCAGTCATTTTTCCTCTTCTTAGTAGCTGGTGTAGTGCTGTGTTTTGACTTTCAGCCTGGGAACAGCACTGAGGCAATTACTCAGATATGCATGGAGAGGGTAATCAAGAAAATGTAGAAAATGCTTATAATGGCCAAATACAATGTTGGTTCAGGCTCTGAGCTACCCCGTCTGATGAGAAAGCAAGGAAAACTCCAGACTATTGTCTCTCAACTGCATATATTTCTATGGGTCTTTGCTGACAGGGTCTCTGCTGAGGGCATTCAGCATAAGGTTTTGTGCATCTCCTTTGCTTTGGAGCAAATATGATTTGAGAGACAGAACTTCCAGCTCAGCTGCTAAGTTTAATCAGGATTCCTTCAGTAAGTGGAGAATTAAATGCCAGGGAACTGTTAGTCCTTAAACCAATTGGCAGTATTATGGCAAGTCACTCAATTTCATTTTTCCTGTCTCCAATAAAAATGGTCCAAGAACTCAAAGGGATGTGTTTATGCAACCAGTGAGATATTCTGCAAGTCACAGGAGACTTGGGGTTGTTGTTTGTTTGTTTGTTTTTTGTGTTTTTTTTTTGTTGCTCTTGTTGTTTTGTTTGGGTGTTTTTTTTTTTACTATGGGAAAATAATCCTAATCTAAAATGCAGACACTAGAAGGGAAAAAACAGTAGCAGAGAAAGAGAAAAATAATCTGCCAAGGCAAACCAATTTAGAGAAGAAAAACACTTCACTTGTCATCATCTTTCTTCTGTGTTGGCAACAAAAGAAATGTTTTCTCCTAGAAGCCTTGGGAAAGCATCACTTACCTGACACATCCCCCAGGCCACATGATTCCTGTATCACACACAGCTAACTTCAGCCACCGGCCTTTACAAGTATCGTTTGGATGTTAGCTTATCACCTGGCCAGCCCAAGGGCTAGCTGTTCCAGGAAAGTACAACAATCCTTATAAATAATGCACCTAACGTCTTTGCTGTCTCACTCTGTTCTTTTAGGTCAGCTAAGGTGCTGCATCATTTACTGCTGCACTATATAGTGAAACACATCTCCCCATGTGGGAAATGCATTTACAAAGATTACCCAGCAGAAGAGCACAAAATGATTTGTAGAGGAACCTGTGGCTTATCAGGAAAATGACGTTTGGCAGGGACACAGCTAACGTCTGGCAGAACGCAGCACGTTTCCAGTTCTGGCACATGGAGAGGCAGAGCTGCTTCCAGCAGAGCTGCAGGTAGCAGGAGGCTGATTGATGACAGCCAGGGCTTGGACCCAGGACCAGCAGAGAGCCCCTGTGCCTGGTGGGCATAGCAGCTTGCAGAAGCTGTGGGTATGGATGGCACAAATACGTCACAGCTGCAGCTGTAAGAGCAAACCTGCCCCCAGAGGTGCGCTCAACTCCTATTCCCCAGCCCCTCAGCAGAACAGGTTTTCCTTCGCTGTTTTTCCTAGATCTTTTGTACTAATTGCAGTACTTCAGCACGGTCACTAAGCAAGAAAAGCTTTTCCGGACAGATCAAATCCCTCATAGTCTCAGAAGGAAAAACAAGCAGGCCCTCACCCCTGCAGCACACCCTCAGTCACAGACCTCATCCACCCAAACCCCACCCTCTTCCCCTTTGTGTAGCTGGCAGCTGCTGTTCCTAAACTTTGAATTTTGCCTATAAAAGTACACAAACACAATCTTTTTAATTCTTTGTGTTAATTTATTTTTAAAAAGTGCAAGTTATATTAATGGTTTTATATGGAACTGGCTTTAAGTGTCATATAGCTAGGCTTGTGCCCTGGTTTCGCCTGGGATGGAGTTAGTTTTCCTCCTAGTAGCTGGTGCAGTGCTGTGTTTTGGATTTAGCTTAAGAATGATGCTGATAACACACCAAAGTTTTACTTGTTGCTAAGTAATGCTTACCCTGATCAAGGACTTTTCAGTCTCTCATGCCTTGTCAGTGAGGAGGGGGCACAGCTGACCCAAACTAGCCAAAGGGGTATTCTATACCACAGCATGTCATGTCCTGTATAGAAACTGGGGGAAGTTGACTGGGGCGGGGCGGGGGGATGATTACTGTTTGGGATTGGGTATTGATCAGTGAGTGTTGAGCAGTTGTACTGTGCATCACTTAGGTGATCTCTTTCCTATAATAATAAAAGGAGTTTGTTTCCTATAATAATATAGGAAAGGTATCTCTTTCCAATAATAATAATAATAGTAATAATAATAGTAATAATTATTATATCTTACTTTTATTTCAATTATTTAAGTTTTCTTATCTCAGCTCATGGGTTTTTGCCTTTTTTTTCTGAGTCTCCTCCCCATCCCCCTGGAGAGGGGAATGAGAGAGTAGCTGTGTGGTACATAGCTGCCAGCTGGGCTCAAGCTATGACAGGCAGTCATGTTGCACAGGAGTGCAACAGACTGGGCAGCGAATAAACCCCAAACCACCCCACACCTTCCCCTTCAAGCGTAGAAATAAATCAACAGATAACATGCTGCAAATTCTACTCACTTGTTACCCTTGGACAGAGATATGAATCATTTCTTTTCATACATTCGTCCTCCAGCTCCTCATCATCTGAACTGTTCTCAACACCAGTTTCTAGTTCCTGCACAGCATACTGGTGGTGCAGCGCCCAACGTGGCATTATTACAAACATCAAAGACTAAGGCAATGTATAGAAAACCATGCCATTTGCTGCTAGAGTATGTGACAGACATAGGCCAGGTAAACATGAAAGGAATGGCTTAGGATCAATCGAGCATAATCAATCAGCACAACAGCTCAGTCTGAGGAGATAAAGCTACATTTGCATTTATACTCTAACCTGTTCTCTCCAAGGAGAACATCAGGTTGTTTGCCTAGATGTTACAAATTACTTGGAAAAAAGGTGCTTTGATTCAGGCAGCAATTATAGTGTGCTGATTGCTCTGGTTCTTTCTGCAGTGAAACAAAACACTAGCTCACACTAAGGGACTTGGGTGCTGCCAGGGGGATAAACTGCATGGTTCTCTAGGAGATGGAGGTTTGAAGCATATTGTGTGCTGGCAATCATGGACATACTAAAAGAATCTTTCCTGACAGAAAACAACTAAGATTAATCACTAAGCTCATAGAAAGTGAGAGGGGAAGCACTAAATGGAGGATGAGATGAGACTCGGGTTTACTTTCAATCCTAGGATGATTTTGTATTTTATCTGGTCAGATGACACAGAAAGGCATCCTTCAGCATCACTGCTTGCCTGGTAGCAGCCTCTGTGTGTGAGATGGTATGACAGTAGAGTGTAAATGGCCCAGTGGGAAAGCTGACAAAAAACAAAGCTTTACTTGTAATCACAGAGAGTTTGCAAAAGGCTATGGCTATTTCCTTTCAGCCTTATCCTGACCTTGTGATTAGCAATGCACTGATCATTATTTGTTTATTAAGACTTGAAAACAGAGGGCAGAAATTTACTCTTCTCCTCTTCACAATCAGCCTACTGTTCATATGAGCTTTTAGATTATAGAGCTGATGCTGTGACTACTGAAGTGACATTTTCCAGGGACATTGCAGGCTTTAGAACAAGTCCTGCTTAACTAGAATGAGCCAAAACAAATATTTCCTCTTTGTTTAGATATTAAACTAAAGTGCCTTGAATAATTTCTTCCTTCATGCAGGGAGACCTCTAAAGCCATGTACTCAAATACAGGCTTGAGATGAACTGTAAGGTTTGGTAGCTGGAAGCAGTTCTTTGACAGAAAAGGGGCAAGCCTCCTTGCATCCTTGAGTTAAGATCAAGGCCTAGGGAAAGTGGGATTTTATTCAGTCATGTCCTCCTGCTTTCTATTATTAGCTAATTTGATGGTGGCTGTTTTGGATCCTATTTTAAGATTATTCCCTTAAAGTGTCTTCATTTCGGCAAGGAACTGCCTCTCTGAGGGTAACTTGTGAGTCAACTCATCTCCCAGTACAATCTGAGTGCTCTAATTCTGGAAAACAGTTTCTATCTGTAAAAAGTGCACCTCTCTGAACACTTCATGAATGGTGCTTATACAATGTTTTCAATTTCTTAGACTGTAACATCCACCATTTTTTTATCATTTTATATCTATAATGTTCTTTAAAGTAGCACACTCAGCCATTTTATTAACCTTGATGTACTCTGTAACAAAAAGCAACTAAAAATGTGTATATTCCTCAATGACAAAAATGGAAAATAAGACCTCAAATTTTCCTCTCAACCAATTCCAAGTGAGCTCCCTAATGTGACCATAATATTAGAATAAAACACGTAAGACAAGGGTAATGCTATGCTCCATATTTTATTTATATTTTTATGTAAACATAATTTGCTTTGTAGGCACAATATAACAGAAGCTCTAAAGCAACAAATACAATTAAACAGTGTTTCAGTTCACTTCAATCAGGCTTAAGTTAAAGAAAAGCTTTCACAGTTCCTTTAAGGCAAATTGTAAATAATTTGTTTCACTTGAAGAAATGATCCAATTGTCTTACAAGTTGTTGAAAAACACTGTCAGTAGTAAGCACAAACCTTCATTTGCTGTCTCAGTAACAAGTCTCAGCATCATCATTTTGGATAGTGTGCCCTCTATCACTTCAGATGCGATACTACTGTTTGTGGTATTCTAAAAGGTACTTAGGACTTGTGGGCCAAATTCTGCTAGCACAAATCCTGCTTCTAGAACAGACACCTGGAAAATTTCCATTCATTTCAGTAGTAACCTTCACATATGCCATGTTTATACCAGTAAAAGACAGAGTAGAGTTTAGGTTGATGATGGTAGTGCTTATCTGTGTTGCACTTGGGTAGATCCAGAAGTATTCCTTTGTACTCACTGCAATTACCTGACATTCTACTGATCAGAAAATGGCCCTATCATTGGTATGGAACAGCATGAAGAGTATTCTTGCCTTGCTAACAAAACCAGAAAGAACTAGCAAAAATGATTTCACCTGATTGTTGTCTCTATGATGTCTGTGGCCATGTCCAAGATCACCCATCTTTATTTCTCTCAAAGGGTAATGTAAGTGTAGAGCCAACTATAACACAGTTTACAACAGAAGAATGGATTTGCTATTCTGCTTGCCCTACTAATTTAAGGCCTTGAGAATGCCACTTTACTGCCAGCTCTAAGGTCACCAGCAATATTGCTCACTTTGGCGTCAAATCAAAATTTCTAGTTATGTTAAGGTTTGTTGCAGGACATAATTACACTAGCTGCAAAACAAAACTGGCCATGTTTCCTACCATTGTTAGCTTATGAGTCGTGAAAACTTAATGGTCTTTCTTAAAAGCCCAACTGTCAAGCCCAACACATGGAAACTCTCACCGAATATGCATTTTTTTCTGTGAATAAAAGTCCTGTTTGGGCCTGATATGGCACTGGAAGTGCAAGCAAGTTCAAGTTGAAAAGAAATCAATTATAGTGAAGTTCTGTATCAACATCTAGAGAAAACTAAAGTTCTGGTTCAGTTAATATTTCAAAAGCTCTTTTGTCATTTTTCTCCACAGTTATTTCTTCTCAATATTTCTGAGTTTAACCCAAGGGAAAATCCTTCTGGACAAACATTCTGCACAATTATCTGGTATTAGAACAGCAACTTTATGAGTACAGTGTAAGGAGATGGACATTAATACTCAAGAAGATGAAACAAACAGAAAAAACAAGACCCTTCTTAAATCACACCTAAAAGTCATCCAGACCCACAAGTCTTTTCACTTTAAGAAAAGCCTCAGGAGCCCTCCTGCTCCACTTTTCTGTATTAGTTTTTAACTTCTATCACTACAGGACACTTCTAGATTTAGGTGAATAACTAACCGTGCCTGGGAAAATACTTTCTTTTGAAAGAAGAAGAAGAAAACAAATAATTCAAAGAAAGATACATGGCATTAAATAAGATCTCTGACATTCCTGTTTCTATTGTAGGTGACTGCAGTCATTTTAGAATTGTTTTAACAAAACAATTGAGGACCTAAGTAGCTGCTGCTTTGATAGGTGAAAGACATGGAAAAAAGATTTACTTTTGTCATGATATATAGTTTCCACTAGTGGGAGGTAGATAAGACTAGCTGGTCTTTGAATACTTGATCCTGCAAATAATTACAAACATAACTTACATATGGAGCAGAGCTTCTGATGGAATTACTTATCTAGATAAGGTTATCCCTGTGCATAATTTCTGATGGGATTAAGGCCTAAAACTCATTTTTAACAGCTCCTAATTCTGTAGGAGCTCAGCTCCAGCTTGATAGTTAATCAACACATTAGCAATTTCAGAGCAGTTCTTTCCCCATACTGATGAGTAATCCTTACCAGTATGATTTAAAAATGAGATTTAAAATTGGTTTGTATTTTGGGCACAGAAGAGTCAGCGTGCCCTTGGCAAAAGATGTTGATCTGTCAATAACAATACCAACCGCTACAAGCAATTAACGTTCTGGGTCTAAAAATAGTGGCTCACTGTCCTTTTTCTTTGCCTGTAACATACGGGGTGATGGCTCAGATCAACAGGAAAGCATGACAAGTTGGCACTCAGAATGAAGTATTTAATTACTAGTGCTGATGACTAACGTGATTATACAATATGAATTAAAGTCTCTCAATTAATGGTTTCTTGCCCAATTTCAGATTCCACAATTCTAAATGAGATATTTTTGAAAATGAAGATAGGATTGCTTAAGACATGATAAAGCATGACTGAGGAAAATGAAACCTCTTCTTTGCAACTTTCATCTGTGGTTCATAAAAGGAAAACTATTTTAACACTGAAAATCCTCAAACATAAAATCCTCCCTCCAGTTACTATAATCTCCCAGACAGCAAGTGGGTAATTTCTTTTTTCCAACTTGCGGAAAAAAAGCCAAAACTTCCCAAATAACCGTACACAAAACATTGGAATTTGCATGAGAAGGATGCCCATCTAAAATTACACAGTAAGTTAATAAGACTTTTAAACCAGAACAGAAAAATCCATGGGACTCCTACAGGGAAATTGGTATCACACAGGAATGTCATAATACTGCACTGGATGAGAATGGCACTTGAGTTCAAAACAACAATGATCAACAGCTCATAGCTCAGCTGACTGCAGACAAATACAACACATACTGTACTACAGCATTTGTTCACTGATGCACAGAATAATTTCCCAGACTTGTTCCCTTCTACTTCCCCAATCTGTCTGCTTCCACCACCTCTGGCTGTTACTGGATGAATGGCATGCGCTCTTTGTTCTCATTATCCCCTTCATGGTCTTCTTCTTCTTCTCCAGCCTCACTTGTCTCTGTGCTGTCATTGGCCATCTGTAGGATGAAAGATGACAGACATCTGAGTACTTTTCACACTGGTTCATTCATTCTCATTTCAGTTTGATTCATTTGAAAGAGTGACTTTAAAAATGAAAGAAGCTACGGCTGCAACATGAAAATAAACATTCTGCTTGTGTAAAACTTTTCTTGGCCACTACACCACTTCCAGCTATAATTGTAAGCTATTCCCCCACTGCTCACAGCTGAATTTATGTAACAGAAAGCTGCTCTGCAGGACAATTGCACAAGTAGATCTGTGCACTTGTACTGATATTGAGGGTCTGGCATAGGAAATACAACTGTGTAGGAAGTTCACAGAATGTGTCAGACCTCTGGTTTCAATGCCTGCATCCACTCTTTCAGTAACACTGCTCTTTAATGCCAGCTAATGGATGGGATCTAGCCCCATATGAAGGCACAGTGTCATGAAAACCCAGAGCAGTGGATCTGTAGATGCTGGCACAATATACTCATGGCAGTGCAAATTTTGGATCGTATGGGAGTAGGTAGAAACTGCATGTCTGTGGTTTTATTGAAGATGCCTGTACAGGTACTAAGCAGTTGCAGAAACTTGTAGTTCAGGACAGTATTTAAGGAGAGCATTGTGTTTTTTCACATGTGATGAATATTTATTATAAGCTGTGTAAAGGTGCAAAACTCTCCTGTACTTCATGCTGTCTCTGGAGGCACAACCAAAGTGTAAATTGGACAGGTGGTAATGTTTAACAGCATAGATTAGTATGACTGAATTCTCTTATACACCAACATTACCTCTTTTAGGACACAATAAGACTCCTGTATTAGCTTATAACTGTTTCAAAACCAACTAAGCAAATGGCCCATTTACTTTTTAAAGAGAAATGCAGTGACATTGTATGTTTCCTGTTTGGTTACTAGTCTCTGCTGGAAATAAACAGAACCTGATTTTAATGGGGAAAAGCAATGGTCTGAAGTTACCCACATATTTGAATCAACACACTTGAGTGAAAGTGCATCAAATTTGTTCTCACCTTTTAACCAATGGCTATTGTGAATATACAGTATCAAGAGAACATGTGGAATAAATGTGTTAATGTTGTGTTACGGATTCTTGTTTACAGTTTCCAGATACAATTCAGCTGCAAAATAATGCCCAGTTTCCGCATGTGAGGTCCCAGAAGCTTTCTTTTCCCTTGCAATGATTTTGTACGATTTCTGGGGCCAGTTTCAGAGGAAGCACAACTAAGAGCTTAACTGTAATTCCAGGTTCTTTTCTGTTCCTTTGAAACAGAAGCTATCCCAAGTCTGAAAGCAAACTCGAGACATCAGTATAGATCTGAAATCAGATTTTCATTATCTCCTTTACTGTTCTTCCCTACATCATCAGTGAACATGTAGGCATGAGTCTGACTTCCTTTTACTACTGCTCTCTAATGTTTCAGTGCCATGTCAAGTGCTCCAAATGCAGTGGATCAGAGCTCCAGCACAACTATCTTCCTTCAGACCATTTCTAGAAGGGAGTACTTATATATTGTGCTTCTTCATATATTATAAAAAATTACAAGACATTTCTACCAAAACTATACTCTGACTTATGTGAGGGACTCAGCACTTCTGCGTTTGTATACTGCAGTAATGCTGACTGTGTCTTTTTTCTGTTCAATTCACTTATCAATACAGGAATTTTGCACTACGTGAAATGTCTATTTGTTTCCTATCACAGGGACAGAAATAGATGTAGTGGTTTCATCCTGATCTAACACTTGTTGACATGTTTCACAGAGGCAGATAGCCATTCAGTACAGAAAAGTGACTTCTGGGACTCTAGGAATGACAGTTGCATTTCACTTTGTGTTAAGTATACAAATTATTAATATTGGTTGTATTTAGGTGCTGTGGATTTAGAAGAAAACAGTATACAACCAAAATCATACGGGACATGTCTCCAAAAGTCCCCACCATGTTTTAACCTCTGTGACTGTACACCGTGTACATAGTGCTTTGCTCTCACCAGAGGAGTGGGTGTTTTCTCCACATCCAGAATTAGTTTCCCTATGTTTCCTCGGTCATGGATTCTCTGCATGGCTTCCTTCACCTGAAAGACAGATAAGCTATTGATAATTTTCAGGTACAGACTAAGAGAATCCTGAACTCCTTCCTTCCAAAACCAGCAATATTTAAGGCATGTTATGTGCAAAGTCATTCAAACAGCTGCTTGAAACAAAATTAATAGTTACACATTTTTCAGACAATTTGTAAGGCCTGATTTTTGCATTGTATTTGTCAAAATGGGATATGAGTCTTGATGACAGTTTCTGAATAGCATAATACATATATAATGTTAATGGAGTACAAAAGTAATGATTAGTTGAGGTGAAGAGAGAAATACAGGCTCAGGGAGTTAATCCTTAGAGGTTGCTCATTAGATTTTCTCCTTGCACAGTATTTATCCACAAATACTACTTTCACTGAAAGTATGAAATGTTTCTCTAATTGACCTTTGATAATTTCCCATTCATTACTTTTTCATTCCTATAGAGGGAATGTCATACCCAGGCAGTGGCTGTGATTAATGCAATGCAATGGCGCATTTCTTTCCTTCTTTTTTCCACCTTTTTGTTTCATTTTAAATAAGTAGTGTCCTACAGATACCACTAAGACTAGACATTTAACAGCTGGCTGCAATTAGCACATGCAAGAAAGGAACAAAAACTTCTTACTAGTGCACTGGAGATGAATTTATTTTGATGTATGACATTTCAAAACTCATGAGAGCTCAGTGTTGATGAATTGAAATAGTGTGTGCATTGCAATGAACGTTCAGGGTGCAGCATGCAGACCAGCATTAAATCACTGAAAACTGGAAGATGTCAAGACTTCCCTCACTTTCATGGTGGGAAACTTCAGGAACTGAAAAAGTACTGTCTCAGATCACTAATTTTTGCTGGCATAACAGGGTTTGTTGAGACAAGAAACAGTTTTATGTTAACAGGATCTACCATCTGTGACATAGTTCTATTGAATATTTTAAGAATAATGGTACAGAAGTTTGAAACTATATGCTGACTTGGGAACAAGTGGGTCCCACAATATATTTAAAAGCCTGAATTGGGGTCCAGACACCTAAGACAATTACTGAATGTCTAACACAGAAGGAGGTATGAGATTTTTAAAGATACTAAGTAAACACAGATTTTAACTTCCAATTAAATTTAATGGATGCTGTGCACAAAATGTCTTTACCATCTGTTAGCCTTATTTTGAAAGCCGACTGCAGTGAACTCAGTATTACAACCTTAATTTTGCAAAGTGGTTCCTTCAATTAGTAAACACCAGACTTGAGTTAAAAAAACGTTAGAACAGACGAGAAAATGGATTGGAAACCACAGTGACTACCTAAGTTAGGGCATTATTGCAAATTAACCTCAGAAAACACAGTCTGACACTGGATAGAATGTTGACCTCTAATTTATGAATTTCCCTTACAGTATAAACAATACCTAACTATTCTGTAAGACTTGTTCTGCACAATGGACAATATTCTTTTAAGAATATCCAAAAAAGACCCTGAAGAAGCAGCAGCTCTATTACTTTTTATTACTCTTATTAGCCAAAATCAAGGTTTTAGGAGTCTAGAGCACAGCATAACCAACCTGTATGTGGCATAATTGGAGAAATCAGCGAACACACTTGCCTGTCCACTGAAAGTTATTACCAGAACTTCATGTGGAAAGCAGTGGATGCAACTTTCATTTTAATTTGCATCATATCACATTAAGCAACGCAAATTTGAGAAAATGTGCTTTCCCTGCATTTTACATGCACAGTACCAAATGTAAGACTCTGGAGAAAGGTTCAGGAGGTGTTTCCAGGACACTTGTAAGTAGCTTGTAAATGCAAAATATATTAAAATTCTGAAAAAAAGGTTTGAAGAGCTGATATAACATCTTGTCACAGTTTAAGCCCAGCTGGTAACTCAGAACAACGCAGCTGCTCGCTCACTTCCCCAACCCCTTCCTTCTCCCCCTCCCAGAGGATGGGGAGGAGAATGGAAAGAATGTAACTCCCACAGGCTGAGGTAAGAACAGTCCAGTAACTAAGGTATAACACAAATCACTGCTGCTACCACCAATAATAATAATGATAAGGGAAATAACAAGGGGAGAGAATAAAACCGCTCACCACTCACTGACCGATACCCAGCGAAACTCGAGCAGTGATCTAGGCCTTCCGGGTAACTGCCCCCAGTTTCTATACTGGGCATGACGTGCTGTGGTATGGAATACTTCTTTGGTTAGTTTGGGTCAGGTGTCTTGTCTCTGCTTCCTCACAGCTTCCCCTCCTCCCTGGCAGAGCATGAGACTCAGATAGTCCTTGGTCAGGGTAAACATTACTGAGCAACAACTAAAAACACTGGTGTTATCAGCGCTGTTCCCAGGCTGAAAGTCAAAACCACAGCACTGCACCAGCTACTAAGAAGGAGAAAAATGAGTGCTACTGCTGAACCCAGGACAGTATCCACCCCTTATTCCATACCATCCATGTCATGCTCAGATCCCACATTTTTTCAATATGCCATCACTCTCATCTCATATATATATATATATATGTACATCCACACACTCACAAAGAGAGATATCATTCCTTAGTGCATGGACTAATCCCTATAAAGCTGCTGAGTTCATTCGGTCCATGATATCAGGCTCCATCTCTTGGTAACAGTCTTTCAGAGCAGGAGAGGCTGTGTGCAGTGTTGGATTGGTGCCTGCCGCTGACCCCATGGAATTTGTCAGGTCACTGCTGAGATTGTCTGGTTTCGTCATTCTCTGTTGGGATGATAGTCAGAGGGAAGTCAGGGCCAGGCGCTGGTGGCCTGATGATATCTACCTGGTGGGCTATAAAAGTGCTACACAGCAGGCAACGGCATACAATTGAGTTCATTGGCTGTTTTCCCCCCAAATCAAATCCCCTTGAAGTACACATCGGACTTCCCCATTTTCCCCCATTACCCAAGTATATCCAGGTCCCTGAGCACAAGCAATCCCACGAGTGGGTTTGCCTTTACCTGAAGCAGGAATAACCCAGACTGTCTTTCCCAGCAAATTCTTTATGTGCACCACAGGAACTTTATCCCCCTCTACAGTATGTAAAAGTTCTGACTGGGCTGGGCCAGCCCTGTTGGCAGATCCTCTGGTGTTGACCAACCAGGTGGCCTTTGGTAAATGTGCATCCCGATGTCTGAAAGTCCCGTCACCCATTGCTCTCAGTGTAGATTTTCCCAGAGACTGGTGCATGGTAGCGGATGTGATATACCCACTCAATGCCATGCTCCTTGGCCCAAGTGTCTATAAGGTTGCTCTGGAAATGAGTCCCATTGTCTGACTCAGTTCTCTCTAGGGTGCCGCGTCACCACAAGATTTGTTTCTGAAGGCCCAGGATAGTGTTCCGGGCAGTGGCGTGGGGCACCGCGTATGTTTCCAGCCATCCAGCGGTCAAAATCATTCTTCTTCTGGGTCACATGATAGAGAGGGCTTACAATTGAACTGTAATTTGGGATGTGCATTCTCCAGAACCCCACAGCACCCAAGAAAGTTTGTGTTTCTTTCTTATTGGTTGGTGGAGACATTGCTGTTATCTTATTGATCACATCTGTGGAGATCTGGTGACATTCATCTTGCCATTTCATTCCCCAAAATTGAATCTCCTGTGCAGGTCCCTTGACCTTACTCCGTTTTATGGCAAAACCGGCTTTCAGCAGGACTTGGATTATTTTCCTCCCTTTCTCAAAAACTTCTTCCGCTGTATCACCCCACACCATAATGTCATTAATGTATTGCAGGTGTTCTGGAGCTTGCCCCTGTTCCAGTGCATTCTGGATCAGTCCATGGCAAATGGTAGGGCTGTGTTTCCACCCCTGGGGCAGTCGGTTCCAAGTGAACTGGACACCCCTCCAAGTAAAAGCAAACTGTGGCCTGCACTCTGCTGCCAAAGGAATTGAGAAAAATGCATTGGCAATATCAATCGTGGCATACCACTTGGCTGCCTTTGACTCTAGTTCATACTGAAGTTCTAGCATGTCCGGTACGGCAGCACTCAATGGTGGTGTGACTTCATTCAGGCCACGATAGTCTACTGTTAGTCTCCATTCTCCATTAGATTTTCGCACTGGCCATATGGGGCTATTAAAGGGTGAGCGGGTCCTGCTGATCACCCCCTGACTCTCCAGTCTACGGATCAGCTGATGGATGGGAATCAGGGAGTCTCGGTTGGTGCGATATTGCCGCCGGTGCACTGTTGTGGTCGCAATTGGCACTTGTTGCTCTTCAACTTTCAGCAACCCCACAGCAGAGGGATCTTCTGAGAGACCAGGCAAGGTGGACAGCTGCTCAATTTCCTCAGTCTCCAAAGCAGCAATACCAAAAGCCCACCGGTACTTTTTTGGGTCTTTGAATACCCTCTCCTGAGGTAGTCTATGCCGAGGATGTATGTAGCCTCTGGACCAGTCACAATAGGGTGCTTTTGCCATTCCCTCCCAGTCAGGCTGATTTCAGCCTCCAGCACAGTCAACTCTTGGGATCGTCCTGTCACTCCAGAAATATAGATGGGTTCCACCCCTTGACAGCTTGATGGCATCAGGGTACACTGTGCACCTGTATCTACTAGAGCCTTATACTTCTGTGGGACTGATATGTCAGGCCATCTTATTCACACAGCCCAGTATATCCAATTGTCCCCTACCTCCATCTGGCTGGAGGCAGGGCCCCTCTAATAGTCATCACAATATTGGTCACTTACATCTTGTAGACAGGGATTAGCCTTCTTTTATCACAGGAGCTGGACTAAAATCAGCTCTTCCACTCCATCTGGGAACCTGCTCAGAAGAGACTGAAGCCACAGCTTTCATGGGATGATCAGACTTGACCTTTGTTCTCCAATTCATGCACCTGTTCCTCCAGAGCTGAGGCAGGTTTTCCATCCCATTTCATCATGTGTTCTCCATGATCCCACAGGTAAAACCATAGGGTGGCCTGTGGCATATACGTCCTATATCTTCTCTGTCGAGCAGTAGGACGCCTTTTGTTAATAGCTGAGATG